ATCTCATTCGTTATCGGCGACTCTCTTTAATTTGACCTTTTCTCTATTCGTCGCTGTTAAGTTTTATTTATATTAAATTTGTAAAGGTGTGAAGTTGGAGGTCAAAGTGAATGAAGAAGGCGTTTTATGATTTCTGGCACTTAGACTGTGTCTTTTTTTTCTTTTTTAACAGGACACAGAAAGCTTTTATTGCCAAGTGAGCTCGCACACACAAGGAATTTGACATACTGAATGAAACTGTGGTACACAACAATAACAAGACAGGCAATAAATATAGAAATAGAAATAAAAGTAAAGTATTATTTGTAAAGGAAAAGTATAAAAGTACTATGTCAATAAAAAAGTACTGCTTAAAAGAGACATAAACTTGCCTAAACCAGAGTAATAAATGAGAACAGTTTAAATAAATAATGTTGCACATGAAATTGAGGAGTTGCACATGCTCAGAGGAGTCTTTTTGGACCAATACTGGAGCTGAAATGTGAAACAAGTGCTTCACACAACTCAAAGCGTGTCAAAAAGTGCACGTCTGAAATGCAACATAGAACATTTAGCGCGCTAATTTGCAGCTTTAGGGCTTCACTGATGTTAATTCAGTCTTCCGCGGCACCAGGAAGTGCACCGAAGTTCCTCCTCTTTGCTTCTGATTCTTAACGTCAGAGTCAAAAGTGTTGTGAATAATGTTAGACAGCTAAATAAAGCATTAAATGTTTCACAAAAACAGCTGCCTCCGAGGTGAATCTCTGACTAAAATCTGCATGAAGAAGCTCTGAGTTTGGTTTTGATTCACCTCCGGAGGCGACCCCTTCGCACAAACAAGCGGACACGTGATCCCGATATAAAAAAATATCGATCACAGCAGCTTTGACGCTGTAAATCAGCTCATGACTCACCTTATGGAGAACATTTCCCCGCTCCCCTCTCCTCTGATTTAGGGTGTCGTAATGAAATAGGTTTGTGTTTACGGCGTATGATGTTTGGCGAGCGCGTGGGCGTCGAATCTGATTTAGTCGAAATGCTTCACCTCCAAAACTGAACCCGTTCTGATTTTACACTTTATTAGAAGCATATGAAATTAGATGTCTTCCTTTAAAAAAAAAAAGAAACTCCTGGAAGGATAGTTTGGTTGAAATGAAGGGTTTTTATCTGACAGCGGTAACATTATCTCTGTCTTGAGGACAGTCAGACTAGAATTAGGATGAAGAAATCTCTTTCAGGAAGAAGTCAGGTACAAATCCCCGCGCTGATCCACACGCTGTAAATCAAGAGAGCGCGCTAATAGAATAAAAGCTATTTTTTTTAGAGCGATTTTATTCGCTCGTAATCCGTCTGATTTCTCCCAGTTAGATATTCATTGTCAGCAAACCGCCGCCTGATCAGAGCAAACTCCTAAATCAGACAAACATTAAACAGAAACGGCATTAATTCTTGAATTTTTGATTTTGTTTCATCTTCGGGGACGTTTTTCTCATCGCTTTAATGATTTTTTTGTTATTCTGGCTCTGAAACTATAGAGGCTTCATTTCCATGCTTTTGAAACTTCAGCGCAAAGGGAGGAGGGGTGCAAAGCAGAGTATCCTTAAATCATGAAGTGAAAAAAGGTTTGAATTTGACTTGTGCTCCGTTGGTGCATCTCCAGCGTCGGTTGTAGCACCGGCGCTGCTGCTAATGTGCTGACTGGTGTTTTGTGCTTCTTGTTTATGCGGTGGAGACGGCAGCAGCAGAGCACCGGCACGGCACTTAAGGCGTCGCTTTGAAGCTACCTGGTTTTATGCGAGCGTAATGGCAGCCGGCTTTGGTCAGTGCTCTACCTGGAGAAATTCATTTGCATGGGGGAGGGGGTGTGTGCATGGGAAGTGGTGCAGAGATAACGCCGCATCTTTTCAAATGCAAGCATCCAGTTATTTCCTCATCATCGGCGGCGGCGGCGCTCAGGAGTTCAAGGTGTTTCCCCCTCAGACAGGGGAGAGGAAAAAAAAAGTGCTTTACCAGCTCTGTGTTTGCACGGGCTCATTAGTGGAGCACTGGGTGAGTGATTGGATGATTACTTATTGTTTGATTGCAATTAGGATTATTAAAGTGATTCATGGGCGACAGAGAGGGTGAGCCGTGGCTGCATCCAGCTGGAGACGTGGTGCAGCTGCTGCAGCACTCAGAGGTCAACGCTAGAGTTCACGGACTTTTTTTTTTTTATCCTTAAATCTGCCATAGTGTAGCTTTAAAAAGCCTCTTTAACTGCAGTTTTGAGCTTAAAATGCAGACAAAGGAGCAGCTGGAAATATATGGAGCGCACTCTGGGGACCTACGACTTCATTAAACGTAAAGATAATAGTTCAGATTTATTGATTAGGATGAAAGGTTCAGACATTATTTTGTTGGGTTGGGTTGACGTCATGGCATCAACTAAACATTGTGTGTAGTTTAAACTTGAATTTGTTGTTTTCTACATTAAAATTTTAAAATAAAAACATAGTCAGTGGTCATAAATTTTATTGTTGAATGAATTATTTGTTTCTTGGTGCTCCGTGGTGTTTGTGCCGGTTTGTCATGTGGGCTTGTGACCATGGTGTGTGGAGATGACCTGTGGCTGGTTGAGACCTCCTCCAGGACTTCAGCTGCCCGTCATCTCAGCTAATTAACCTGCACTCCGGCCCTTGTTCTCCCCACCTCCGGTCACGTCTCATTGGACCGCCACTCCTCCTCCACCCCAGCTATCACCACACCTGGCTATAAAAGCCACCACAACCTCTGGCTGGGATGCAGAGTGAACGGTCCGTCCTGGAGCCTCTCATTCTGCGTCCTCTGAATTTGTGGAAATGTAGCTTCTGTCGGCAGCTGCTAACTCGGTGGGGAGTTTCTGAGTGAGTCTCCGTGGAGGCGATGACTCCCGTTAGCAGCTGCACAACTTCCTGAGGAAGTCACGCGTCCTGTGTCTTTATTCTGTGTTTGGAGGCACCAGTTTGTTTTATGTGTGGATGTTGCCATTAGTTTTTGGCTCAAGAGTTTAGTTTTGTTTGCTCACCTCGCAACTCTGATAGCCTCCATTTGGTTCTTGGATTTGTAGCAACATCAACCATCTCCTTTTGTCACAGTTATGTTCTGTTCATTTACGTTGCTGAGCAATAAATTGCTTTACCTGAAACATTTCCATTTGGTTTCTTGTTCCATCCAGCTGACCCGAGAGGCTGGATCGTAACAACTGGTAAAAAAAACTACTGAAAAAATGTAATTGGAGCAACTTAATTTACATTAAAAACTTAATCATACATAACATAATTATATTAATTAGCTACAATTCCTTTTAAATAATTGGGAAATGACTAAAACATTTGGAACAACTTCATTTTTCTGAGTTAGTTAATAATGACCAATGAGTGGAAATTAAAATAACTTTGACTGAAGAGGAAAATCTAAGTAATCCAACTCAATAAGGTTTGTTGGTTGAACATGATTTCATTAGTGTTTTAAGTCAACAAGATTATTGCATTTTTATTGTTGTTGAATCTAAGCATTACTTTTTTTTAGAGTGTACAATCTAAAAACAGTGTTTGGGCTAAAAAGTTAATGCAACAGTTTACATCGATCTTTATGAGTTATGACAACTTGTAACAAAATTATGTTCAACCAACAAACTATACTGAGTTGGAGGAATTAACCTTTACTAAGTTGATAAAAAAATTAAGTTGTTCTAACTAGTTTTTCCACATTATTTCAGATTAATATTTTAGTGTAATGTATTTATTTTTTATGCAGATAAACACAAGTTTTAAAAGTCAACAGTGGTTTAAATAATTAAGTTGCTCCAACTAGATTCTCACTGGTGTAGCTCCTCCCCTGATGAGATGAACTCCATCAGTTTTGAGGTGCAACTGTCAAGTTTGGTCGTCAAGATAAGGCATAATGGTTCTATAACAATTAGGAATATTCTCAAAATCATTGCTTTACTGTAAATTATTTGCAAAAAAACAATGAAATGATCTTTTGTATCATATTTATGTCGCTTACGGGTCCTTTATATTAAAAACAAGCTATCAAGCCCATTTTTTTAAAAGTTACTGCAACTTTAGGATAGTTTTAACTTGATAAAGGTAGAAATCTGAGTTTAACTCACACAGTGTTACGTTAACGCCACATTATCAGGTTAGCACAACACAACATCAAAAAGCAACATTTGCAGCTTAATAATACTCATCTAAATCCATAAATCTCAATTTTTAAAAAAATCCTACCACCGTGCATGTGATGAAGAAGTCTGTTTTTTTTAGAGTGTAGAAGCGGTGGGACAAAAACATGGAGCTTGGACAGCCTTCAGCAAAGTGATGAATAATGGACCTGCTGCAGGAGAGATGACCATGACCTCTTCTTTGAGGACGAGCCCTATTAAAAAACACGCATCCAGATGAGCACACATGATCCACTTTGGATTTGCTTTCTGCTTTTTGCACACACATCTCATCATACATGCCATTCTGTCTGCCTTTTTATTATTGTTATCAACTAAAATCCTTCCCTCTGCCTGCGCCTGATTGATCTGTTCTTCCTCTGGTTTTTATTTTGGAGCAGCTCTGGCTCTTTGCGCATAAATATTGCAGTCCGAAGGCGCACACACGGAATATAACATGGGTCTCCTTCCTCGCCAGACATCCAGGATGGATGTGGTGTAGGTAGGTGAGGAGAGAGAGGGGGTCTGGCCGTGCTCCGGAGCCTGTTATCTCCTGTTTGCTGCTAGGTGGAGCCCGAGTATACTGCGAGAGCGGCAATCCACATCCGAGTTTTTCCTCTCACCTTTCACTGGCTCTCCAAACCTCTTGGTCTCCATACAGAATTACTCCCAGCCAGTGCGCACAATTGGTTTGTCATAGTCGCACACAGCTCAGTCGGTTTTTTTTTTTTTTTCCTTGTGGGGACCCAAACAACTTAGATTTTTTTTTTTTTTTTAAATCCCCCTGCGGAGCTTTTTTTTCTCTCACCAGATTCTCGCCACCGTCTTGTTTTCCCCTCAAATTCTTCTGGATACTCTTTTTCCTTCTTCTTTTTTTTTTTTGCGTGTGGCGTACGGCTGCTGGCGTTTTTCTTTCTCCGTGCGCTTTCCAGCTTTATGGGACGTGATGTAGCCCCCGCACAGAAGGACGCCTTGTGCCATAAAGGGATGTAAAAACCGAAAGGGGGGGACAGTACCAGTGGATACAAGCGTTTCTCCCGAGACATCACCGGATTGTGGAGCCACAGCAGCAGCGCTACATAAAGGCGATTTTTATTTTTTATTTTTATTTCTATTTTCTTCTCTCCTTTTTTTTTGTTTTTCAACCAGGATATTGAACGGAGCACTTTGGATTCGTGGTTCTCTCTCCTCGACCCCTTATCAAGTCCAATTCCTCACCTCCCCGGTGCGTAAGGAACGGCTTACCCGACGACCTGAGAGACAGTTCCGAGAGAAATTTACTTTCAATCTGCTCATATTCGCCGGTCATTTTTCTAAATACGCGGTAAGTGTGACGTTCCTGCACTAGGAGAGATAAAAAATAATTTTAAAAAAAAGCTGGGAAGAAAAAAAACGCATATGCCTGTGTGTTTTGTGCGCACTCTTATCTGCAGATTCAGCTCAGGGGGCGATAATAAAGCCCATGAATGAATCCCTGCAGCGGTGGAGACGCGCTCTGTAATGCCAAATCTTGGCCACTCTTAATTACTTGAACCTGGCTGTCATTGCTTTCAGGTGCAAACGTGAACGCGCAACATATTGGTGCCCAAAATGGGTAAAAAATAAAAATATATGAGTTTATATCATTCACCAATGTGCTCCAAAATAGCTTTGAGGAAGAAGAAGTTGCGTTTTTACATGAAGGAAGTTTGATTTGATGATTTCCTTTTTGCCTGTTAATGTAATTTTGTGTAATTTGTGTGGGGTGCAGCAGTAAAGGCTAAACAGTGTGCAGGCCCTGTGTTGTGTGAGGATACATGCTGCTGTGGGCATCTGAATTTTTCATATTCTCCACACTGTGTGTTTAAAATATGCATTTTAAAGGTATGGCTGAATCTTCACCTTCTTTCTCAGTCAGTTTTGCTGCTTTCCCAAAGTGTCCCCCCTCTCATTGCAGTGGAGGAAAAAACACCCTCATTATTTGATGCACACGTGAAGGAGGTTGCTTCTGCTTGAGGAGGCTGCTCAGGGAGGGAAGGGTTTTGTAACGGCTGCAACATCAGATTGGAAGTTTCAGTTTGTTGTGCTGCTTTCTGGTTTTTATCCTCCCAACATCTGCGGGGCTCTGGTCGGGGTTTGGCCTCTCCTGGTTGGCCCCCCTGATCACTCACATTGTTGTTGTTGTTTGTATCCTCGTCTGACAATTACATTCATTACGTCCAGGACTGCAGTGCCATCTGTCATGTAATCTGCATCGGTGGGGATTGCCCTCAAGCAGATGACACACACACAGAGAGTTTAAAAAAAAGCATTAAAATAAAAACCCTTGACTTGCTCCTCCAGACTGAAAACTCAAGGGGACATTGGAAGCTTTCTGACTAAACCGTTCTGTCAACCTGCACTTTGTTTCGTCTCATCCGTTTAGATTCGGCTAAATGCTGCTCCTTGTGGAATATAATCTGGGTTATATTTAATACATTGAAGCGAGCATCTGCTGCTGCTTGCTGCTGATGGGACGGAGCTGCGTGGAAACGAATCGCTGCGTGCGTTGCAGGAGGGCGGTTCGATTTATCGATCGGATTGGCTATCTTGGGTTGAGCACAGAAGCAGCCGTTTAACTTCTCAGATGCCTTTTTTGGTTCTTCTCTCGGAGATCTTCAGACCTCTTAACCTTTAAGAAACTGCTCATCAGAGGCCACATGAGCGGCTTCTTCAGGCATTCCTCTCTCTAGTGTAGTGACACATTCCATCATATTGTAGTGAAAGTCCAACGCTCTGCTCTGCGTTTCTTTCTGTTGCATTGTGTTACTGGAAAGCAGCATTGTTGGATCCCTGTGATGTTTCCTTTTTTTTTTCTCCTCCCTCCGTCGATGTTGTGTAGTTTCTCAGCGAGCGAATCTCTTTCCATTGGCAGCCCCATTTATTTGATTTGATTTCTCCTCTTTTTGGACACAATTGCGAGTCAGGAGGAATCCAATTTGTCGTCGCCGTATGAATAGAGACACGGCCTCTCCAATTTTCTTCATTAGGTTAGCCTTCTGTAGGGCGCAGCATTATGTACAGTGCAGGCTTTTACATCCATTTGGGAAAAGCGTTCTTCAAAGAGCGGCGGAAGTTACGTCAGGCGAGCGTTCCCGCGAGATGTTTCGCTCAAGTTTACGCGCAGCTTTAAATGAAGACCGTAAAGGTTAACGCTGCACGCCGAAGCCGCAAACCGCTCCACTAATCAACCCCGGTTTGAAAGGCAGTGCAGCAGGCAAATGAATACCTTTTCATGCCTTTATCTAACTGCCTCATCTGGAGTGATTTGCTGCTGTACAACTGAATATAATGCTCAAGGTCATGCACTACATATTTTTTTTTTTTTCAAATCAGGTTTATATTTTCTCTCTTTTGAAATGTGCAATCATGTCTCCGGGGATCGGAGGCCGTGCAGTGGTTTGAAATGTGCTTTTTTTTTTTTTCTTCTCCATGTCCCCCCTTTTTTGCCACCCGTGTGCATCAGCGGCCAACGATTGAAGTCATTTATTAGCCCGTTTGATTATCAAAGTCGCAGAAGATTGGCTGATAGATGTGGAGCCAGCAACACAGCAGCACTCAGGTTTTTTTTTTTTTTTTGGTTTGAAATTACTGAACAGTTTTGCTAAGATTGTAGAAAGTGGAGCGATTTCGAGCGAAAATTGACGGTCACCATGGCGACCAGTCAGGAGCTTGTTTCATACATGGCGACGTACAGGCGTCACATTCCTCTTGTTCCTTGAGCTGGAGCTCTGATTATTCGATTAATCGGTTTGTGAGTCAGTAAGAATTGATTAGCTGATGAATTCGGCTCATTTTTGTTGGTAAATCGAGCGTTTTTGTGGCTTAATCTGGCAAAACACGCCATTTAAAGGCTTTTTTGCACTTAAAGATGATCAGAATAACGAAGACGATCTCGTTCGACCTTGCTTACTTGCTTTAAGGCCGCAGTTTTCAGCATTCATTCTGCTCACACGTGTTAAATCTTCCCGCACATGACACGACTCCTTTTGAAAGATTACTTCTTTTTTTTTTCTTGACTTATCGTCGGCGAGGCTGCATGAGATCCTTGACAAGTAAGAAAATAAGGGCACTACAGAGGAAGAGCTTTCTGAATCCTCACACGGGCTGTCTAAGTGACGGATTTTAAAACTTATTTTGCAGTTGAGTGATTGTTTATCCCCGCGGCTGGATGCTGACATGCTAAGCAAACGTCTTTAGAGAATTTATATTTGTTGCCTGATTTCTTTTCTTCCACCTCCTCCCCTCCCCTCGTGAGATTTAAACACCAGGTAGGGTGTGTCGGATTATATATGCTGAAAAACTGATAAAGCAGGGCCACCTACTGTACCGCATTCACATTCCTGTGGGCTAAGTTTCACCCCGCTGCTGCACCGAGGCCCTGGGTTTTTCTAAGGTCCCCGAGTCTGGAGCTATCATGCTGTTCGGAGTGAGACAGGTCAGTCTGCTGGGGCCCTTTTTTTTTTTTTTCTGGCAGGAATGTCACACAAGAAGAAAAGCAAAAGCCGAAAATACACAAAAAGAGAGAAAGCACGCGGCGGAGAGAAAGGTCCTCGAGGTCTACGCCTCTCAACACTTTAGCAGTCCTGTCTCATAAAGAGCTCGGACACAAAGGTTTTGACACGAGCTTTCACGACCCCCTCCTTCCTCCTCCCTCCTGCCGAACACTAAATTGCAGGAAATGGGGTTAGAGTTGAGATGGAGACTTCAGCTGGTGCTTGATGGAAAGAACAGACAATTAGTTTTTTGATTCCGTGTGTGGCTGTGCAGGCGGTGACCTCGATGTTTGAGAGGGTGTTGTGTTGTGTGTTGTGTGTGGAAGTCGGACAACAGCAGATGCCACCAGGACGGACGCCTGTTAAGGCGGGTTGGATGCAACATGCGGGGAAACCTATCAGCGTATATGTCGTAAGGTCAACAACACAGGTTGAGCAGAGCCGTCTTTGTCGCTGGATTCGAATGCAGCCTGATATTTGTCATTGTGCTGCTCCTCTAATATCTGAAGTTTGAAAAAAAACAGGCGATTCCAGCTGAACAGTGAAGAAAATCAATGCTGTCTCCTCATTTCTCATTTAGTCAACCCGACTGTGTGTTTTTTTTTAATCCACCCCCGACACCAATTCACCATTACTTATCTAAATCATGATCGGGATTAATTCCCGGCCCTTTCTCTGCGGCGAAAGGGAGTATTGACGACCTCCTTTGAATCGCAAACCAATTTCTGGGGAATTTTAGCCAGTCCGGGGTGTTGCTGAGGATAGTTTGAGGTTAGTGCGAGTCCTTCAAAATCCTCGATGCGAAGAATTTGCAGAGATAAGTGTGCACCACAAACTGTCCACGATTCATGCTGAAACTATGAAAACTCTCTACATCTATGGCAAAATAAAACTACTACAATGACGATGCTTCAGGATCGCTGCTGTGTTTGCATTTAGCAAAGAAATAAAAGTGCAGAGTCAAGCACGCAGACCTTCAGATTGTGTTGCCCGTCACACAGACCACAGCTGAATAATATGAAGTATAGTGCAGATTCATCTGACACACTTCATAACTTGTTTTCCTTGAGTCTCATTCACTCCGGTTTGACACTATTGACTCACTCTCCAACCCATAGAGTGCATATAAAAGATGGACGTAGCCTCCGGGTGTGAAAGCCATCTCGGAAGCGCCGTCAAAGAAGTCCGAATGCGTCTAAGATTACGAGCAAAGCAGCCTTGATTCCTCGCTTGATCTGTTACCTCGGTAAACATTTTCCCGGCGAATGTATGTCTTTGCTCGGTTGAAAATTATGATTCCACATGGAGGTAAATAGATTATCTTGTAAGATCAACCCTTCGCTTGTTTGGTTTCAAAAGATGCCAAACTTGAGGCTCCAAATCGGGCGGACGACATCCATCTTTTATATGCAGTCTGTGTGTCTAACTAGCTAACCGCCGCCGTCAGGTAGTTTGTCACAGGTGTCGGGTTTTTTTTCCCCGTATCCTCGCCTGATGTCCTCAGCGTAACCGTGGAGGATATTTTGGCAGCTTGTCATTCTGCCTATCAGCCTCTGTTTCTCCTCTAGCTTCGCCCAGAGAGCTGCTGCCGTCTTGTCTGGATTCTATATAGGGCCTGGATCTGCCATTCAACCCTAGAAACTGGAAGAAACCCTTTTTTTTTTCTTCTTCTAATTGTACAAAAACCTGATAACATGATGGAATAACCAGCGACTGCTGCAGGCCCGTTTGAGGTCATGGAAACATTTCTGTTTGACTCGCAGTCTTGACAGTGAGCAGGAACGGGATGTTAAATTGTGCAGAAGTAGGA